CAGGATTCGGAGACGGTGTACCTTCGAGCTAGCTCGTTTTCTGTCGATGCGAACTCGCGATGTGTTCAAACGTCATGGGCTACTGATCGACCAACTTCCACCAGGGACAATCGGTTGGGATCTCTGCGACAATGTTAGTAATAATGAGGGTAGATATTTTGGGAGTGACGGAGACGAAGGAAAGAGAAAGGGAAGAAAGGAGGACGAAGACGACGATGGAGGAGGAAACATGGAGGAGAGCAAAGGGTTTGAGCCAGATGACTTTCCCCAAAAGGAAAAACGTAGGACTAGGGAAGAATTGCCCAGAGATTCTTGTCAAAATGAGGATCAGAATGATGGTAGCGAACACAAGGAGGATAATGGTGAAAGTACTCCAAAACGAACTCGGTAAAAGGTAGTAAGTAGGCTTGGTAGACACATGCAGTTTTCTTCTGTTGCTGCTGTTTCTGTCTTTGATCCGAAGGATAGTTTAGCCTCCCTCATGCTGCCCCCTCACGGGGTCCCAGTTCATGGCAGATAAAAGTGTTTTGTGTTGTCAACCGCACTGAGACTGACGTCTTTCATTGGTCAGCCGGTAAGCGCGGTCGATGCTAATAGTCAAACACACACACAGAATACGCGTGTCCATAGCACGCACAGCACGGCTTCCAGTGCCACTAACCCCTCGTCTTTGAACATTATGGCTCTTCCTGTACTGCTGTGTTGTCGGCATACTGTGAGCTGCTGTTGTTCGTCTGCTGTGTGCTGCTGCTGGGGTGCCGTGTGCTGAGTGCAGCAGATCAAACCCTTCAAAAATTGGTTCTGTAATTGCTAGTTCCGGAGGCGTTTTGAGGGCAGGCCGGTTCCTGCCTGCCCTCGAGGGCAGATTTACTGCTGTAGTGCGCGAGTGCGCTGCTTTTGGTAGTCGAACCACGCTGCTGCTACTACTGCTGCGGTACCCTTAATACATTTTCGCACCCAAAAAAAAACGGCTGGGGAACCGTAAACACACAGATAGCCTTTCGCTCACGCTGTGGATTCATTGCTAGTCTATCTTGAACGTATTTTTATAGATAGAGATGGATTTGTTGTGTGAAAAATAGAAAAAAAAATGTTGCAATAGAGAAGGTGTGCTTTTTTTTTATTTGCTTAATATCACACAACGAATCCATCTCTAAGAAAAGAGTGCAAGACATTTCTGTGCTTTTCAACCTTTGTGTAATACGCTTCCATTCACGTCACAACTCTTCCGTGAATCCGCCCACGACCCCCTGCTTCGAAGCCTTACTACCGCGCTCGCTCAAGAGACGGGGTGCCCTGGGAGGATTGTTGGAGCTGTATCGCGGCAGGGGCGGGGGCGGGCGACAGACCTTTTGGGGGCTCTGCGCTCAATTTAGAGGGAGTAGAAGCGGCAACGAGTTTAGCCGACCCAGGGTTCAAATCAGAAGAGTAGATCACGGAGCCGGCCCCTCCCCAGCCCACGTGCTTACGCGAGTAGAAAGGAGAGCCTCGGCAGGCGCACGCTCCGAATTCCGTCAGTCGTCGGCGTGGGGTTTGGAGCACCGGGACCCAAGCTCGGACGAAAACCGTCTCTGTGTCCCTGCTAGGCGCAGAATAGTAGCCACGCAACCGCAGCAGCACCAGGACCGGGCCCGCAACCGATCGAGCTTCGACCCGGAGCCGTTGAGTCGGACGTGGTGATGGTGGGCGGAGGAAGGCGGGCCATGGCCGACGTGGAGCGGCCAACCCGGAGACGGGGGAAGATGGGAGGTGCGGGGCGTGCGCTAGCGCTGGGCCTAACGATAGGAGGCTGGGCGTCAAGTCAGGTAAGGGTGGTGTGGGGGCCATGTTTTTCGGGACTATTGATGAACCGTGGGGGTCGTCGGACTGTTTGCAGAGGCAGGCGCCCCTCTACCTCCTCAGGCTCGCAAAATCTCATCTATCTCCAGCTCTCTATCTCTGTAATCGTTTTTGGCGTCATCCTGTTATCATTCGAGTGGCGGCTCCACGTTGACCTTGATTAAACACACCCGGGATATGTATGCGTCCATGATGTTGTCTCTCGCGTAAGAAATTTGCCGTGTAGCGTTGTACGGGGAGAGGCCTCGAATTTTCCCACTGAAGGGGTAAAATCGGGTTGACATGACAACGATTCCACGCGCTGTTACGAGCTTGAAATTGAAAAACAATCTCGCTTGGTCGGGGCTGGGGTTGTACCAAGAGCTGTGTACCCCAATGCCCTGGAAGAGAAGCGTTGATTGGAATGAAGGATACTACCGCGCCGTGCAATCGTGTGGAATCTGCCCCCATAAGTTTCTCCCCGGAATCGGTTCTGTGTTGCTACACACTGCACACCGTTCTCTGAGTTCGTGGACCCTATATTATCGGCCCTGCCCATTATTGTTCGCGCCCCTCCTCTATTATCAAGTCAATGCGAGGGCGCCCTTGCTTTTTTTTTCTCCTGTTTTTGTGGAATTTTCTCCTTGAAAGAAACGCGTACTTGTATGACCGCCCTCCTGTTTTCGTTTGGCCTTGCAGGGGTTGACTGCTGCGGCAAGCGACTTGCCAGCGGCGGCGGCGGCGGGTTCGCAGGAATGCGGGTTCATCGTGACCATGTGGGGGGAATCGGCTGCCTGCGAGCAGCAGCTTGACGGTGCAGCAGTTGGGTGCGACAAGAAGTCGTTCTCGCGCCGGGCGGACCGTGTGCAGGTGGGTGTTGTTCGCGTATCTGCCGCTGGTCTTCGATGTTGACTAAATACCCTCAAGCAGAGGAGCAGCAGGGCGCCCTGCAGCAGGGCGCCAGGCGCCAGTAGGTGACTGATGCGCGTGGAAATGCGGGTGCAGGGACTTGGCAATTCTTCCTTTCTCCCACGGCAGCACGCCGCGGGAAAAAGGGTCTAGCGCTCACTACAATTGTACAGTAAGAAGTATATATCTACCAGTATATCGTCGTGCCTTCACTGATTCCTGCAGCAGTTCATATTTGTATGTATTTGGTCTACTCAAGGCATGATATGCTTCTATTTTCGTAGATTGTGCTCTTTTTTCTTGAGAACTAACAGCAGTGGCAGTAGTATCGACAGCCAGCACGAGTGATGTACATGGCACACCGATCGATCGGCATTAAAAGTTCGCAAGCGTATTAGATGCATTTGCACAGTTTTCTGGAAGCTCGTGCCCGCAGAGAACCGTTTCTGTTTTATCTTCGACTAGGCAGAGCTTGATGTCCGTGTTTGGCGAAGTCTTTTTGCAATTGTTTTTTCAAGTTTTGTGTCCATTTTGTAAAGCATGAGGACAAACGACGGTGTACCGGGGGTTGCGTGAGTGACACAATGCGGCAAGAGTTGCTCAGTGGCCACGCTGACCGGCCAAGACCGCCGAGTACGTTTCACCTCCTGACTGTTCAAAAGCAGAGAACATCGCGGC